AATAAGGGGATGGGAAACAGATTGAAAAGGTCTTAAGTGGTTTTACTTGGGACTGATGCTGTTCTAGGTGTATTTTAATCTCCTCCACAGCTGCGTTGTATAATTTTTCAAAAAGAGAAAAGGAAAAGGTGTAAGTTTTTAGTAGCTGTGATTACCTACAAACTAAACGCCTGGTTCCTGTGAGGTACAAGGTCCTCCCTAACCTTTCTCCTGCATTAGCACCAGTAACAGCATCTGCAGGGAGTAATTAGCAGCACCCAGAGGGGAAAGGAATTGTGCCAGAGGACATCATTACATCCGGAAAAGTAAAGATGATGTACAATAAGGTCATGAACAAACTGCTTGAGTCTGGGGTGAGGGAAAACACCGAGAAAAGTTCAAAGTTTGGTATCATTGCTAATATGCCTACAAAGAGCACATTAATTTCCATTGGAATACCATTAGGGAAATCAGTTTGTTCTGCCAGTTTGTGTTGCTGGATACCATATGTTTACCTTGAGGGAATGCTAGTGGAGAATCACTTTGGGTTAATTGTAAATGTCACAATTAAGTAAGTAAATATACAGAACTGTATCTGTGATCTGCATCAGTGCACAGACACTGTGTACCAGTACACTGGTGTGCCACGTTATGTGTGTACATATAAATATGTACTTTTATGTACTAAATCCATACTGAGCAGCTTATCTGGACATACAGACATCAGCTACAAGCAGCACCCGTATTTTGTCTTTCTGATCTGTTTATCACTACATACATATGGCACTATACCAGGATATTTTATCTGTTTAATGCCTGCATTGTGAGCACTGCGAAGCCCAAGCTTTAAACTGTCTCCTTGCTGTTGACAGGTGTTGCACATTAATTCATCTGGCACAAAAATAAGGCAAAGAAAGGGAGTGAGGGGAATCCAGATTCTGTATTAGAATGCTCACGTTAGTTGGAGTCACATCACAGTTCACTACAGATTCAAATATGTTGCCTTGAAATGTTGTCTGCTTCTCTCTGCCCAGTCTGCACGAGTTGAGGATTTTCAGACAAAACCCTACGCACATGCACATGAACCTGTCACACGGGTCTTTGTCGTGCAAACTTAAGGTCGGCTTCAGTAACAGCCCTTTTAGCCTGGTGCACTGCATAGATCTGGAAAAACTGATTTTCTGTGTTGCCACGGACTTCAGTGGAACCAGCTTTCAACCCTCCAAAGCAGATTTATTCCTGTAAATAGCGGCTACTTCTGAACTTCTTAATTTCATATGTCTTAAATAGTCAAAATTCAAGGGAGACCAGTGAGAGCTGCAGACTTTGGCTGTTGCTAAAATGTTAACTCCTTTTGGATACCACTTTTTTTCCCTTGTAAATGTATTTTAGGGATGTAGAGGCCTGATGAAAATGTACAGAAGTAAACACGTATTGAACTCTGGACAGAGGTGTTAAAAGGAGTTGGCCCCTGTTTACAGCAGGAAAGTGTCTTCAACAGAAACAGGCGATCTAAGACCTACTGTTAGTGCAATATGAATTCAAGGAAAATAATCTCTGAAGTGTCCAGAGCTTGTTATCACACTGAATACCTAAGGCTGCAGTGTGTCTTTAAGCTCTACTTATATTGTACAATAATAATTTTTGAGTAAGAAAATCCTCACCTCACCATGGATGGAAACAAGACGTGTTATTGACTGCCATCCGGAGAGATGTATGCTCTGGCCCTCCCGAGTCTATTAATATTTGATGCTGATGGATGTGAGCTGGCAGCTTGAGTTATTAATGGCGTTTGGTTCCTCGGACCTAACCCTCAATACATAGGGGAGAATTAACAATAAGAGAGCGGTATGCCCAAACCTCTCCTCGTCCAGGAGTCTATCATTTAGTTTCAGCAAGACTTAGTAAGTATTTTTGAGGTACTTTAGAGGTATGAAAAGTCATATGGATGGTGTTGATTGCGCTATTGTCATCATTCATTTTGATTTAAACCCCTCACCAAAGCCCACCTGTGTCCTTGGCTGTGTTGTGATGCTCCTGTCAGACCTGGATTGCAACCAAGAGAAAGGGCTGTCTCCAGTTAGCTTCTGAGCAGCTGCTGGGAGATACAGGATACCCTGTCTCTGGTTGTAGTGAGGAGCCATCTCCCACATTTGGAGGCAGGAAGATGTAATAAGAAGGAAAGAGGACTGTAACACACTGCTTTGCACGAGGAGAGGAGCATTTGCTGGGACTGGCCCTGATCCACTGTGCAATAAGGCAAGTTTTTCCAGTGAGGAGGTGAAAGTCACATGTGACCCTTCAAATCAAGAGATAATATATTAGATAGCCATCAGGGAGATACTGTGATAAATTGGGCCTTCTTGCAGAAAATGATGAAGAAAATGAAGCACTTCAGAAAGTTTGTGATGTCCATATGGATCATTCTGACTTGGAAGAGAAAAATGTAAAATATCAGATTATTTATAGCTAGATTTCTTAATATAGCTTTAACATTTTCAGGGGTATATGTTTGATTGAATTAGCTACTGCTTCCCATCATGTATACCACATCCAGGTTTTTCAGTACACTCATTAGCCTCCTGAACTTAGTAGAAGAAAGAATAATCAACATAAGGAGCACAGCTGCTGATTAATTTTACTAAATAGGATAGAAATATAAAGTACCATATTGCGAGAGCAAAAACTCAATACATAACATTTGAAATCAGTTTATTAGAAAGTATAACTCATTAACAACTGGATAGGAGTATCCGGCAGCATTATCGAGCCGGGCAGGTGGTGAGAGGGAGGTGGAATTTACATATCTGTAGCGATACCTGCATGCATTTAATTTCCTAGGTCATTCTTCCAAATCAAGTTCAAAATGTTAATAATGCAGTGTGCATTCATAATTAATAATATCTTAGAGCTGGTGCGATAGTTCAAGTGCATTTTCCTGTTGTGTAATTAAGGAATTAAGTCTATCTGGCAGTTGTCACTCAGAGAGTTGCGAAGGTCTCACTTCGTCAAAGCCAGGGTAGAAATCTCATTAAGGCAGTAAGTTTTTCTGTTGAGGTTTGTTTGCAAAAGAAGTTCATAAAAGGTGCAGGGCCAGAATGACCAGTTCTGCTAGTCCGTAAAGCAGAGTGCATTAAAGTTGGTGTCTTTTGAACATCTTGGCCGTTAGCTCAAGGACACCAGCACCTTTTCACTTGGTGCTTAAAGAGCTTCAGTTGTGTCTTACTGCCCTCTGTGCAGGCGGATAAAAGCCTCCCGAAAACACGTGAATTTGCCCCAGGCTGCCATGCATGTGGCCAGGGAGATGTCCCCTGCGTCCATGTTCTCTCTCCATCCAAGACCCATACTCTGTTTAAGTTATTACAGCCTCCACAGGAATATTTTCACTCCACATCACTCTTGCTTTTCTCTCCTTTTCAAAGGCATTTTATTATCCTACCAGATCACGAGTTCAAGCCCAGGTGAGGTCAATTGTCATAGAAATCAGTAGCAGCACCAGCCGCTCTGTGTTGTACATAAAGGGAGTTGGGAGTTTCATCCACTCAAGAAGCAGCTTCCTAAGTGGCACTAATTGGCTGCCTAATTGCCAGGCCCAGGAGAAAGGTGGTGGGTTGATCAGGATTGTGCTGGGGAGGGCAGGAGCTTTGGGGTTTTGTGGCTGTCAAGGCAGCACCTTTCATGGCCAGGCCTTTTCAGGGGAGCTTGTTTTACTCTGCCAAGGTCAAAGGCAGCATCCTTTGCAAAATGCTGCTTTTGCTCCAAGATCAGTGCTTGGTGCATTTACTGCTGAGCAGTACATACTTGTACTGTTTGTTTTGCTCTGCCTTTAAAATGAATTTTTTAGTCTAAAGCAGAAGATATGTTAGTACTAAGCTGACTGGCTACAACAACCAAGTAGGGATCTGTGGTACCCAGAAATCAGCCTGGGTTCCCTTTTACTGTCTCCGTGTAGGATGCTGTGATAAACAGGCTCCTGGAGTTGGGAGGTTGTTGTGTGACACAGGGAAAGGGGTATTTTGTACATTTATCTCCTGATATCTCACTGGTCCTGTTGAACAGTGAAGCCTCTCACCTGGAAATATGTATCCTTTCTGACCAGTATCTTTTCTGTTGAGTTACAATATAGGTCACTCTGTGTAATGCAAAACTGTTTGGCTTCAGAGCAGGATAGCTTTCTGTGATACAGATCAAAATTATTGCAGTTTAATTCACTGAAGAGGTAAATTCCAGCAGCTAGGTTGTGATGTGGAAGTCAAGCCTATGTCTAGAGGAAAATGGAGCAAAAATATCTTGTATGTGTATATATGTTTAAGTTGATTAGATGATGGGACTACAGGATTAGAGGGATTGATTCACTCTTTTCACTCCCTTGCCGTTCCCTTCCCTTGCTTCCCCTGCACCCCGGGCAGGAATCAGCCCGGGGCTCTCCGGTTTGCTCCGTGCGCAGCCTCTCCTCTCATACACATCCCTACTCGCTCAGCCTTCCTCCGCAAGCCACATCTCATGCAAATTGACTGGAAACAAATGGAGGTACCAGCTATGTGAGCGTGGCGTCCAGAAGGTCTAATGCCCCTGCTGTGTAGCTTTCCACTCGACTACTATGCAGAGGATGAGCATGCAAGCCCTCCGTTTGCCTTTTAACCACCCTATTCTTAGAATATATTTTCAGGAAAATGCAAAGCAATCGTTGCACAGTTTCAGACTGTATATTTTGTGATTAGTGTTTCATAAGTGATGTTTTGCTTAATGATCTAACATCTGTTCTAGGAGGTTTGTTTTTGTAACTCACACACCTCCTGCTGAATGAATGCCAGAGACTTGTCCCTTTCCTCCAAGTCAATCAAAGCACTAATTGCATCGTAATCATGGCAAGCAGTGGTGGCTGTTCAAGTGTCGAAGACTCAGCAATCAACTTATAATGCTCTGTTTGCTGCTTTGAAATAGAAAGCCTCCCTGTGCAGGGATGGGAATTTCCTGCAATTCAGATTTCTTTAGCTGACTCTGGCTTTTCTGGTTTGCAGGGAGATGACTGCTCCATTATGTGCATGGCAGGAACCTACGGTACCAATTGCTCATCTGTTTGTGATTGCAAAAATGATGGTGAATGTTCCCATGTGGATGGCCTATGCATTTGTAAGGAAGGTAAACAAAATTCGGATTTAGAAGTCATCTACACGATATCTAGCATAAATGTCCTCTGCCACATAAGCTGTGGAGAAGTGCAGTCAGTAACTTCACTATTTCTTTGTGTCTGCTGGCAATTCTACAGCCTGCCCAAGCATCAGAACTCAGTAGGAGTTTGACAGTGGACTTTATCTCTGCCCTCAGCGGAGGACAAAGTGTTACTGCCTCATACCTGGAGTAACACAAGGGAATAAGGGAGATAAAGCAGCCTCTTACCTGCCCTTCCTCTAGCCCTGCCCTGAGGGTACTAATACATCTTAATGGCCCTGACCAGCTCCGCCTGGGGCCTTGATCCACCCTGTCCAGGTGCCCATTTCAGCTCAGCCTGGGTCCCTATTTCAGCACAACCCTGGGCTGTGTTCTGAGAGGGCTGGTCTCCATCTCCACCACAGCCACATAGACCACATAGATCCATGTGGATCTATGGACCACATAGATCCAAACCCAGAGACTGATTTGTGCCTTCACCTCAGACCTGACTCAGCATCACAGACCTGCATGGCAATTGAAGGGCTGTGTCTGAGCACTCAGAGCACTCAGCAGACCTGATCCTGACTGGGGATTGCCTTCAGATTTGCACTGTGAGCTTGCCTGATGATCTGGGCTCCCTGCTGCCATCCCCACTTGCCTTCCTCAAGTGCTGCAGGGCCAATTGCAGGACTAACCTCTGCCCATAGATATTTCCATACTTCCCTTATGTATTTGGCAGTGAATGTAAACCATGGATTGAGAGTCGCTTGAATAACCTCATACCTCTGCACCATCCAGTGTTTCCTATGCTCCCTGTATAGTGGCATCATGCCTGCAAAGCCTCAACACAAGCTATGCCCATGTGGCATTCATAAGCCCTAAAATAGCAGTGAGGCAAATAACAATAAAACCTGGCATTTCAAACATGAATTAATGAATCACTGTATAACTCCCTTTAATGAGGGTGCATAAACCATGAGTTACTGCTCAATGCCATTGCACGCAGCTGCAGTGCAGTGAAAGCCGTAGTGCGACTGGTGGTTAAAATCTGAGCCTTAACAGTTGGAAATGATGGTGTGGGTCCTTTTTTTAGGTGCAATAGCTTCTTTAGATTAAAGAGCATTCCTACAAATATGCGAGGCAAGAAACCAGCAGCGTCATGCAGGGAGTTTCTTGTGTTCTCGCCGCACGGCAACTCTGCAGCCTGCCCAGTGTCGCTGCGCTCTCGCCTCCTGCCTCAAAGGAAAAGCAACGGGCATCTTAAGCTGGCAAAGAGCCCGTGGGGTGGTAACTGTTTTTGATGAGAAAATGTTCCCAACACTGTTTCTTATATGTTTCTTCAGGGTGGCAAGGAATTGATTGCTCCATTCCATGCTCCAGCGGAAGCTGGGGTCTTAACTGTAACCAGACATGTTACTGCAGCAACGGAGCAGCCTGCAGGCCAGTCGATGGCTTTTGCCTCTGCTCCCCGGGGTGGCAAGGAGACTACTGTGACCAGCCGTGTCCGGTAAGTGTGGCTGGCCAGTCCTGCACACCCTTAAGCCCCACCTGGTCCACACAGCTCTTTTAAACACACCGTAGGTCAGTATCATATTTTGTTTGTGGCTTTCTGAGGGAAATCATGTGTAAAAAACAGATTGAGGTTCTAGCAGTCAAGGAGATGGATTATGTTTTGTACTATACTTTATCAGAGCTATTGCAGTGTTATCTGCATTTTTTTCAACATCATTTGTTAAAGCAATGCGTTATTTGGTTCAATATAGAAATGTTAGGCACTGAGTTGTTTCTGTCTTCACTGTATGCTAATTTAAAAAATGCGACTCAGCATTAAAATGGACATGATAGATGATTTGGCCCATTTTAGAATAAAAATCTGATTACTGAGAGTTTTTTGTTTATGTTTTTGGAAGGACGGAACATATGGTCTTAATTGCAGTGAACGTTGTGACTGTAGCCACGCAGATGGATGTGATCCTGTCACCGGTTACTGCTGCTGTCTTGCTGGATGGACAGGTAAAATTCCCAAGTATCTTTGTAAATCTTGGGGTTTTTTTTCTTTTCTCTTTTTAGCTATCGCATCAGTTATAGCACTGGACTTTTAAATAATAGACTGAGACAAGAGCACCTGAACTTACTCATATTTAAATCACTTCTGATGGTGACAGAGTAATTGGCATTGATTAAATTTGTATTCAGATTAGTTAAAGATGGTTCCAAACCTGGAGCCAGATGTCAGCTGTCTGTAGAGTCCTCTAGGGGGGATGAAGATCATCTGGAAATCCTGCAAAGTTTCTCCTTGAATGGTCCTTTCCAAGGGAGTGCAGTTGCGATAGGGTGAATCTTGGCACCATCATGCATGGGATGAGAGTCTTCGTGTGGGTACTGAGTCATTACAGTTGTATCATCATACAAAATACAGAGTTGTCTGTCTACTTTTCCCATTTTGCCATGCTTCATATCATGCTGCAAGGCAGTTACGGAGAGGAGATTAATGCCAGTTTGACAAAGAGTCCTCCAGAGTACGAAGAAGCAGAGAGAAATGGGCAGTGAAGCCTGAGAGCTGAGGTGGGGGTCTCGGTACAATGCACAGACCTGCACTTGGCTTCATCCTGCCACATCTCTGCCACCTTGGCACTGCTAACACAGCAGCGAGGGGCATGTTATTGAGCCCCACTGTATTTCATATTTAGCTGCCTAATATATCAGTTAATGTCCCCTGTAGAAGCCCTGGAGACCTTGAGCTGATACTATTGTCCACTAGTGGCACCAGCAATCAAGATACATTTGTATTAACAGCAATTTCTTTGGGAACTGAATTGCTTTCTGAACGAGTACAAGTGAGGTGGCATGAGGCAGGCAGCAGCAGCAGCCACTTTGGGGCCACCATGGCCCTGCATCCAAGCATGGCCCCACGCAGGCCACCTGCTCCAAGCAGAGACACCAGTGCAGGGGCGAAGAGCAAAGCCTCTTTAGATCAACCACTTGAAAATGGAAAACCTCATTTTAGAATCCAATAATGTAAAGCAGGAGGTTGTGCACGCTGCTTAGAACAGCAGCTTGTTGAACATGCTGAACATACGTATCCAAAAAGGGCTTTTTTTCTCCATAAGAAAATCCATTTGATAACTCTCTAACTCCCCCAACTTGTGTCCTTTTCTCACTGGACTGCATTCATCTTTCCTTGAGACTCTTTACCATCTGTATATCCATCTATCAGGCTTTAAAACACAGCTGCATATGATTGATGACCATAGGTTTTCCTGCCATCATTATGAGTCTCTTCCTGAAACAAAATGGTATTCAAGAGTATAGTAAATTCAATAATTTGCCATAAGTTTTTTTAAAAAGTATAAAATATCCATACCATTATTCTGAAGGTGTATTATACATTTTTCTGTATATATTGTTACTGATGAGAGTGTTTCTTATGCCAGTCCAGTGTGTGTTCTGTATTTTGGGACTATGCAGAAAAAAGGTGTATTTTTTTTTTTTCTCAGAGACACGTGCAACACATATTCTATACTTACTCTCACAAACACATGGACATCTGTACACCAACTAAACATAGGAATAATTTCTGCAAAATCCTCCTCTTTTTCCTTTTCTTTCTTTATTTTTTTTTTATATATTTAAAACGAAGAAGATAAGCATTTGTTAACTTACAGGGGACTTATTGCCAATGAAACACTTTATCCTCCAACATGTGCCTGCATGTTTGGAACTCCTATTGATTTCTAGGGCTGCAGGATCATATTCCAGTTAAGGAGGAAAATATTACATTCATATTCCAGACCAGGTTACAGCTGAGATATTGACAGGACTGTGCAAGGTGTGCATGGGAGATGGTGATGGACAAACAGAGCCAACATGTGTTTTGTCAGCTCTGTTTTCAGTGTTTTTTCCACTTGGCTTTGCACCAAACACAAGGATAAATTCTGCTCCTGGTAGCTTGAAAGTGTGTAATTTCAGAAACTCCTCAGCTAGATAATTATATTTTCATATTAAGGAGTATAGCATCAGTGAAAGATTAATCTTATCATCTGCAGTTGTTGTGTGCTGGGCCATGCTGTGTATTGCCGTGTATTTTATAAATATGACGTGATAAATAATTCAGGCTCAAAATTTTGCTTTCTGGGTTTGGTACTAATTAGGCATGGCCTGAAAAAGATCAGAAAAGTTCACAATCATGAAACATCTGAAGGTTTCTGAACCCTCTCACGCCAGAGTGCTCTTCTGTGCACATGGCTTTCTGATCCTAATAGCCACAAAACTTCATCTGAAACAGCATATTCCGTGTGTTCATTCCACACGTGGGACTGCCTCCTTGATGTCAGTGATTTATGTAAAGATCAAGAGGAAGATTGAGCCCATTTTCTTTAAAGATGTTGCTGATATAAGCCTTCAGAGACCAATAGATGGTAGGAGTGTGGAGGAAGACTGGAAAAAAAGAAGAAATAAGGCGCGTAAAGGGTACCGTACAACAGCACACAGTTAATAGCAGCGTACCATGTTTTTATGGTGTGAGTTGTCACCCCTGTGGCCTCTGGTATGTAGGACAATGTCCTTCTGTAGGTGCGGAGGGATGAAGGCCGGGTTTGCAGGATGAGTGTGCCTGGCAGAGGGAAGGGTGGCTATTCCCATGAGATCACGATGCTGTACGGACCAAGGCTCCTTTGAGGGCTGCCCTAGAGCTTCCATGAAGCTCAGTGATTGCTGCACGCAGGCAGCCAAAGGCAGAAGTTAGAGCCTAAAAGCAGCTCACGTCTAAGATTTTTGCTGCCTGTCATTATTGCCGAAAATTACCCAAACAGGTAGACAGGCCTGTGGTGTCATGAGAGGCTTTGTAGGGAGGGCGGAAAGCGCAGTGTTTGTACCTAAAAGATTAAAAACACATTGGGAAAAGGCTCTTCTGTGGCACAAGAGAAGCTAAACTTGTTCAAGCGTGGTCCAAAGTCAGGTTTTGATGTGCCAGCACAGTGTGGGGCTGACGATTACTCCACACGAAGGAGGTGTCAAATGCAGTGAAGAGCAAGGGCTCAGCCTGGCACCGAGTTCAGCTCCACAGCCTGCTCCAGCGCTGCTCACGCTTAACCTCACATGTAGAACTAGCATGTCAGACAGCAACGGTAGATGTGTTGTCATCTCCTGCTAGCTTTAAGAAGAGAAGTGTCGCCCCCAGCAGGATGCAGTCTTGGCTGATTACACTGATTGCTTTCTGGTGATTAGCAGGGATCCTCCCTCTGCCAGGGCTGCTGTGCTTTGGAGGTGTGTGCTGCTGTCGTGCTTGCAGCTGGGTGTGCAATGTGCTGGGTGTGCAGCTGGGTGTGCATGCCTGTGCAGACACCTCGGAGCTGACGGCACGCTCATTTGCAGGAGAGCTGCTATTTTGTGTACGTTCATGTTAAAATGAAAATGCTCCAACGTGGAGTGCTTCTCTGCTAATTGCATTAGGTTAATTAGGGATCTTGCTTAGGCTGAGTTCACCAAGGGAATGGGAGGTGCAGGAAAGCTGCATGTTGGAGTGTCTCCTGGAAGCCCTTGCAAGCAAACCAGGCTAGAGGAGACAGCACGAGTCTCATCTTGTCCCTACAAAACCTCCTCTCCGGGATGCTCTGATCCTAGATTTCAACAAGGCTCCTCTTGCTTTATGAACTACCTGAAAGTAGAGCTAAAAGGATGTGCAGCAGTGGCAGCCTTGGTGCCCCTTGGCTGCAGAGGTGGCAGGATGAGGCAGACGCCACCAGGCTGGTCCTCGCTCCTCCGCGTGCGGCTCCGCTCGCTCGGCCGGCCGGCCTGCGTGTTCACAAGCAGCGTGCAGAGCAGAAAGGCCAGGCCCAGCTCACGTGCCCAGCAAGCTCGTCCCTCCCTGGAACGCGGCCGTGTGCTCCCAGTTAATTGTGGCAGCGTATATTTTGCTAACCTTTTAGATATTTCAGAGGGATTAAATAGGAAGCTATCTACAGGGGGATATACTCCGTTCCTTTAAATGTTAAGGTCAGCTAAAATCCTGTTTATCTGAATTCCTTTAATCTGAAATGCTCTCTTATCTGAATCTCCATTTGGGCTTTCATTTTTTGTATCGCTGTGATTTCCACTGAGCGCTGTGGTCGCGAGACGGTCTCAATTATCCCGCCGGACAGGTTTACTCGGGAGCTGGTTGGAACATGCAAAGCCAAAGTCTGTTCAGTGGCTTTTGATGTTTCAGAAATGTGGGAGATACAGTATGGTACTGTAAATATAAACTGGGAGCTATAGGAATGTGCACCCCGTAGTTATAAAGGAAGCCTTTAGAGATTTAATTAAACAGGATGGCAAATGCAGGTGCGAAGACAATTTGTGTCATTAAGGGGAAAATATCTTGTTATCCCGTTGGTGCTTCTCACCTTCAGCACATACCCATATAATTGGTAGCAGACTTTCCCACCAGCTTTTCTCTAAAGCTGAGAAAATCTAGGTCTTGTTTTACGTAATTACGGATTTTTAAGACAGGAAATCCGCACCGTTTTAAAATTCATAGTGTTGTCTGTTGGCTTTTTTATTTTTTTCAAACTGTTTCTTACTCTCTTGGTTTGAGATACTAAGCCTAAAAAACCCGAATGGAATGGTAGTAAGTCCCGATTAAACATGCATTTTCTAGATGTCTAATCCCATTACCTAGACCATATTTTGCACTTACCAGTCTTGGCAGTCTTATCACAGAATTTTAGATTAATAATTTATTTCTGTGATTATTCTGTATCCTTACATTAGCCTAAAGCAGATAGAAAAACCAGAAATTTTCAGAGTCAGTCTAAAATGGTGCATTTTATTCTAGCTCACTTCTGGCCTCTGCCTTTCAAATGTAAAAGTCTTTTTCCTATGGAAAGGTGTGCTCGCTCACTGGGCTCGACAAGTGCCCTTTAGTCTATGAATGTAACATAAGCTTATTAGAAATTAGCTTTAATTTTTCATTGACTTAATTTCAAGTGAGTTGATAAGATTTTAATGTCAGTCTGTGCTTAAAAATTCTCTCT